GCACTTTCCATCTGGCACTCATCATTTCGGTCTCGCGATCGTCTACGCATCCGTTCTTAACATAGTTTAGCGGTCGTTTAGTCGTGCAAAAAATAGGCGTGTCAGATTTAAATGTCACATCTTTGGCGAAATGAGACTTCGGAGCAGGTAAGTTGACTTGCTGACCTTCGAGCAATAAAAGTAGATCATGCCATGCTATGATTTGTGGGGACCATCGAAAATCATTGAGGAAAATCACTTCAGAATTTTCGGCTCCAACCCAAGCGAAACTGGTAGACGCTGGATTCGTAAATGTGTGGTAGATTTTGTTTAACGGATTAAATAAAAATGTCTTCCCACAATTGGCTGGACCCGTCAGCATTACATTCCTGTACTTTCCTCGCCCTTTCACGAGAGACTCTTTTACACACATGGCAAATTGATGTGGTGGTATGTCATTATTATGTAATATCTCCAAAGCACATATCTCCCACTCTCCGTGTGTCTCACATGTGCATTCTGCCTCATAAGCTTCTTGCAATATGTCCATACGAGATGTATTTCTTCTCCGTAGTGTTTCTTCAGCTTTTTTCATTTCCCAAGCGTTAGAAATCACTTCGTTTACCACCTTCGTGCCGCGATTTAAGACAAATTCTGCTAGGTCAGTTTTTCCTTCTTGTTTCTGAATATTTGCAAAAGCCATCAGTTCCGTTCGGTCCTGAATATTTTTGTCCACAATTATTTGCGAGACTTGGTAGGAAGTAAGACGTTGACGTTTCCTTGGGCGACCCTCTTTTGCTTTGTATGCATTCGCAGTCTCGGAAGCATGTTCGTTTTCAGTCTGAACAGCGTTTGAGGATGTTGCCAATTCGCGTCTTAAACGAGATTTGCGTTTTTTTCGCAGTGCTTCGTGTGCCTTCATAGTGGGTGGTTCACAAGCATTCGTGAGATCTGGATGCCCTTCGCTTTCCTCATAGTCGATATCATCTTTTGTGACATAGCGCCAAGCCGTGAAATAGTTCGCATGGATGCTTGAAAAGTGTACAGATATGCCGTATGTTTCCTGGAGATATCTTTTCGCGGGCAACCAACGCTGATTTTTATTCAATTTTATTGCTACGTGAAAATGCACTCCTGAACGCAGATGGTTTTCTTGGGCACAGCACCATTGAATTACGGACGCGGTTCGCTGAGTAAACGATCGAACAACAGCTTCAGCAAAGGAACGCCTTGTCGGAAATTTTGTTGTATTTGCTTGGCTGTAAGTGACCAAGTATACCTGTCGAACTTGCCGAGAGTCAAGCTCAAAATTGCTATCACTGGATGTAGAACTTTCGTACTGTGTAAGTAACTCCATTGCATGCAACGATAGAATTTCCGCAAGAAGTGTAAGGTGATTCGAAAGCTTAATAGTAATATTTATTTGATCAAAATGGCTCAATCATCCATTAAGGCAATTAGTGTGCCGAACGCATTGGAAACAGTAGGTAATGAGGCATTTCAGCTGATTATCTATTGTTTTAATGCATTCGGCATATGAGAAGCGCGACGTTTGAAAAAGGCCTTAGATTCCCTGTATGGTAATTTACCTAATTGAAAATACTATTTTATTCAAATATTGACTGTTGATATTCTCATTCAGCTAAAAACAACAGAATGTACTGTATATGTTTGAAATACTGTCGCCTAATTGAATTGAATTGATAGTAACTTTAAGTGATAAAACATCCAAGTTCACAATCGGTTTTGTCTCAGTGCAGCTAATATACAAGATAATTTACTTTATTAATTACTCTCTCTTACACACGAAATATGAAGATAATGCAATTTATGAATTTATTTGGTGAGAATTTGTTCAAACAACGTAATTATGTCCTAGATATATATATTAACATATGAAAAATACGGAAATAGTAATTATGAAAAATACAGACAATCATTGACAAAATTAATTGAAACGATGTCTTACAAGAGATGAAATTTAAAATGAGACCGAAAATTTTCACATATTTACGTTTATTCTCTCTCAGATAGCCCCCTCCCCTCCCCCCCTCCCAAACAATGTTGATGTAACTAGTAATATATGTGTTTGAAGACGTCATTACGGTCGTAACAACATTGATTGGGTGGAGAGGGGGTGATAAAAGTGAGCAAGTGCATTCGTTTCAACCCATTTGTCAATGATTGTAGCCGGTTACAGATAACCTACTAATTGGGGACACTAAGGGATAAAACTGCTAATGAGTGGCGTTACCTGGTTTTGTGTGAGAACATCTGTCAGGGGTTTTGCTGGCCCTTTCAAAACAATGTTGTTTTCCGGACAAAGAGCAGGAAATCCAAACCAATAGTAAAACTGATATTTCTTTAAATCCTGAGAAAATGACATTTTATTAAATTGTGTTCATTTTAGACTCAGTTTAAGAACAACCTACTGTATATGTAGCTATGTTGTAAAATATATAAACTGGTAAAGAAACATAATGTACAGTGTGTAAAGGAACATCGCAGATTTATAGCTCATTTAAAATAATTAAAATTAATTACATGATTGACATGAATATTATGTTAAGATATTCAAATTTTATATTCATTTGATCAATCAGTTAAAATAACAGAATAATATCCTTCAGAGGTTTTCAGCAGCAAATGGTGATAAATGCTTATCTATTTGCCACCAAACACATGCTCAGTCATTATAACTTGATTCTTATTATGAACAATTTAGCCACGAGCAAGTTTTCTAGGACATGTTTTATTTGTTCGTCATGTCAAGGCAACTTTGCCAATTTTTACTATGACAATTAAGAACACATGTTCAAATGCTGGTATGCTATGTACAAATTTTGTTCGTTTGTATCCGTCAACAAAGAAAATTTGGCACAGTAATTTGAGCACTTGCATGCGGTTGGTCAGCAATTTATTGTAGTCGTAATTATTAATACAATAATAATACAATCCTGACAAAAAATTATCGTGGACACCACGTGCATCGAACAAAACTAGATGTATTTCTACAGAATTAATCCCCTCAAAAAATCCCCCCCCCCCCTGCTACCCCCAATTCAATGTTGGACTGAATCAACTAAACATATACTTTTAAAATTTAAATGCGAAAAACAACATTGAATAAGGGGGCAGGGGGGGGAGACAAATTTCATGAAAGAACGTCTCGATGTTAATATTTAAATTGGGTTAGAAAAGTTAGGTGTCCACATAATCTTTGCCAGGATTGTAGACTTGGCGGTCAGAAAACCAAAAACGTGTCATGGAAATTTTGTTCTACATACACAGTCACGTGCAATTGACCAAGAATACTTGTCATATGAAAACTTGCTCGTCAATAACCGGATTTAGAGTCTGCCTCTATCAACATCCCTTTTATAGTGAAAAGCAGCAATAAGAAAGAAATAAGTATTGGATGCTTATGTGAAAATGCATGTAGTGTATTTATCCTGTGTTGGGGAGAAACTATATGTGCATAATTGTACAGTGCAATGTCGTTCACATGTACATACGAAAATCACTTACAGCAAATGTGAGTAAAACAAATTGATTGAGAAGTGTTGGTTCTTCTGCTGCTTTCTTTGATACAATACTGTCCCATATCTATATACATAAATACAATATATATATATATATATTGTCCTTTTCATAATGTGCACATTGTCAATGACGTTGAAGTGATAGGTAACCTTGGGTTAATTCACATGAACATGGTGACTGACGCATTGATATTAATTAAATATATTATTTTGGACATCAACCACTAATTTGTTTTGCATATGATTAATTGATTTCCTTGACTCTTGCCCCAATAAGAATCAGTGCAAAGTTGCTGCAGCCTGTATGCCTCACTCTACAGTTAGATTTAGGTCCATACAACACACCATCCAAATCATGCCTGTATACTCTGTAGAGTTTTATTTTGTGAAGGTAGCCAATCATGCCGGCACAGCCATTTTAAATCACTGACTCCACACAATTATTGGCGTTGCGTGTTATACAATATGCAGTAACTTCAGGCTTAATCAGACAGCTAGAGTACAGTAGTTTCACATAATTTTTGCTTTACAAAAGCTAGCTGCACACGCGAGTTTTGGAGTTGTTAGCCAGTAACTCTTGGTTATACTGTACAGGAAGGTAGTTCATATACTTTTCATGCACTTGCGAAGCCTATGGTAGCCTGCGTGGCAGGCCCATTGAATATGGGCCTGCAACAATCTCAAGGAAATTTGATATTTCGGGGCCGTGAGCGGACTCAAAAACGCTATTGGTTGAAATCACAATGTATGCCAAAATACTCGTAAATCACTGTTGCGCAATGTTTATATACGCTTTCAATAAAAGCGTATATTTTTGAAAGAGTACTGTGAATTTTGGGTTTTAAAACTAAAAGCTGAACAGCTGGAAATCGTTGAGATGTTTTGGCAGGTTTTCTCATTGGATATCTGCCTTGACAAGTCGAAGAGCATGGATACAAACCCATGCACGTGTTGGTATTTCTCTAAATAATACAGTAGCAATACCCGATCAATTTGAAAATACTGATTGACAAATTATGTATCCTATTAAATACATGTCGCTTTATGTATTTATGAAACTTATACTTGATCTACAAACGTTGCTTTTATCGGTTATTATGAGTTTTATAGCAGACTACAAACTACAGTGCAATTTAGCTTGTATTATCATAGGCGGTGATCAAATTTCCTTCAGATTGTTGCAGGCTCTCATTTACCCACCGTTCATTTATAAGTCACCGTTCATACGTTTCTAAGTCACCGTTCATACGTTTCTAAGTCACCGTTCATACATTTCTAAGTCACCGTTCGCCATCTTCAACCACTTAACGCGTGCTTATTCGATTACATAGGCCTATACGCCAAAATTCGAATCACACACGACAAATCGCAGGGTGTTACTGTAAACGTATACCATTCGAATACAAAAAAAACAATATAATACATATTAACCTTACGTTATGTAAGTATTTACTTTACACATGATATAGACATTGTCTTGCCAAGGATTATGAATACTGTAAAATTTCAAGTCAACATCGATTTTTTATGCTTTAATACGTACTTGCCTTTTTCCCAACAGATTCCAGCAGTTTTTGCTTGTCAAATGCTTTGAAATTCTCTATTGTATTGGTGTTGTGAAGTTCTCCCTTGCAACTGAAACAATTCTTAGACGTTTGGGCATTTCTGAACAAACAAGTGATGAATTTTATTATAACTATGACGAGCGTATAAAACCCACGATACTGACAACCAACAGACTGTAGTAAATGAGCAGGGGTTTCAGAATAAGCCGGCGGCCGGTGGAGTTCCGCCGGCTACTTGAACTTTCACCGCCGGCTACTTTTCGTCTGGTCACAGGAAAAAAATTATATACAAAGGTACAAGCGAACCAACACGATGTTTGTTATGTTCCAATTGGAATTCAAGCAAAACGTCACTTATTTTGGAAGATCAATAAGATCAATAATATATAGTACCAAACATAGCTTGCTTTCTAAGACTAAGTTGGTGTCGAAGTGAATCTTCCTGGAAGATAACTCTGATTGACTCTGTGACTTAAGCATTGCCATTGGGGAATCCGAATTTGACAGTGAGTCAGAGAACCTTCAGAGCCACTTTGGTAAATGTTTTTGGCAAGTGACTAATTCTTTGACAACAAATTAATTATGATAAAGTGATGAAGTGAAAAACTCTGGGCCGTAGCGAGGGGGGGGGTTAACCCCCCTCCCAACTTTTTTAGAATTAACATATTCGGAAAATCGGGTTGGCCATTCGGAAAATTACGGCAATAATAGTATAACAAAATTTTAGTTGTTAAACAGAGAATATATAATATTATATAATACCTTATTAAATTCTAATCGTTTAATTGGCTGTTTATGGTCACGTGATATTGAATAGAAAATTCCATTTCCCAAGAGTGCAATGGAACACGTTCCATTGCACTCTCCGCGAGTGCAATGGAATAAAACGTATAGTACAATTGCACTCTTCGTGTTTTTGGTAAATCGCATCCCTCAAAATGCTTCTTATACGAACTATTAGTCTATTTTGGTATTATATAAAACAGTCGCCTCGTTGAATGGAACATTCCATCTTTCACCTCATGAAAATATTCTTACCATTGCACTCATAAACATTCATTATTTGTATATAATTGTATTGTCAGTATAAACTGATTTACAAAATCATGGCATTTACATGGATATTAACATTTAACAAATCGTAAATCAGTAAATATGCATGCATACTGTACCTTTATCATTTAAATAATATACCTTTCAAATACTGACAATTGATTTATTTAATTTTAAGTGGCTACATTATCCATGACAAACTGCAAAGAATCATATTACCCATACTTTCCTGCATCTTCTCCATGCAATATATAGTTCATTAAATACGCCTTCGCCCATTTAGTATACTACTAAATTGTAAACAAATTGTAAATTTCGACATACTAAAACGCTGTTTTCTGACCATCAGAATTATGCTCTAAACTTCCCCAAAGTCCAGGAAATGGCATTCCAGAGACTCTAAATTAAAAAATTTCCTCGGGCCTTTGGCCCTCGTTCTCAGCCCCTAATCAAAAAGAGCTTCCTACGGCACTGCATGCTACTCAGCTGCTGTAATATGTCTGTGCGTAGAATATGCATATTTTTGTTTGTAAATTGCGTCTTCATTTTCCGGACAGCAAACACCTTCGTGATTAAACTACAAGTAGCACATTAAAGTACATTGTCACTTACAAGTATCAATGACATCTAAATCTAACAAGTGAACAGTTGTACTTTATCTTGTCACTTATTCTATATTATCTGATTGTTAATTTGCGTTTAAATTTCCATGCGAGGGCACCCCCCCCTAAATTTCCATGCGAGGGCACGCCCCCCTCCCTGCGCGTTTTTTTAACTATCAGTCACAGCCGGCTACTTATTTGGTACAACCGCCTACTTCAAATAATTCTGAAACCCCTGAATGAGCTACATAAAGAAGAGAAGTACTGTATGCAAGGACCCTGCATGGTGTTTAATCCCCGAGCGCCATGGATCTCATGGGTGGACCTCTCACTGATCTCAAAAACATGGCGAATGTCAGGAGTAGAATGAGTGGGATCGTTAAAAAAAATCGTTACTTTATGCAACGAGCAGCTAAACATTCTTTATTTCATAACAACGGATTAGAGGCAATATATTGCAGTAAATCATAAAACACAAGACAAGTTGTATCAATTGTATAAATTGTTGCGTACGATCAAAGACACTGACAGCGTCTTCACCATGATTTGAAACGGTTTTATTTCAAACACGAAGTTTGTCCTTAAAAAGAATAGTTTCGTTTCATAACGTTTTATGTTTTCAAAACATTTTTGCACATATTGAGAAAATAAGATAAAATGAATGAATGTTATAAAATAACATGTATATAACGCGTGCTCTGATTGGTCGAAACCCGTGTTTGGATCAGGCCATCCAAACACGGAAGACTATCGTGTTGTTGTTATTTTATAAAACAATTACTTTATGGTTTATCCGTGTTTGGATGTCCTGATCCAAACACTTGGGAATGTTGCTCGAGTTAAGAAACTTCGGCTCGTGTTTCGCGCGCTTTTCTTAACTCTCGCAACATTCCCGCGTGTTTGGATCAGGCCATCCAAACACAGAAGCCATAAAGTACTTTAATTGTATAACAGTACTAGGACCTAGGTACAGTACAAAGAAAAAAAGAAATAAACAAAACAAATAGGTGAATTGCATGAGGGAGAAATGAATGAACTACAAATTGCAATATACAGTAGACATGTGCTCAACGTTAAAAAGGGCCTGGAGGACCAAAGTGGTCAAGTTTAACCAGGATACAACTTAAAGTTTTTATTGTAAATAAATTAAGCCATTTAGACTGATTTGATAGCCTATGACATTTGTATGCTTCGTTTTCCATTCTTGCCTAATTAGCCACATGCCAGAATATTAGCAGAATTTTTTTTGTTCTGTTCTGTCACAGAACTTCAGAAATTTTCAAGGTTTGTATGTGGTACGTCACTACGTCTGAAGGGGATGGGAAAGAATTCCAATAATATGATAATGTGCTAGGACTCTGAATATAGGAGGGTTGACTTTTTTCCATGGAAGAGCTACGGATATATTTTCTGAATATAGCTGATATTTTATACAATCATGATATTTTCTATGTGACAAATATGACTATATCTTACCCATCCAATGCATCATAATCAAGGTTAAATCTTGATGGCAATCCATCTAAATCATCTAAAAACAATTGTCATTATTAATTGCATGAAAGTGTCCGGCCTTAATGAGATGTTTAATTGTATGGCGTATTTTAAATTATTAACTAAAGGCGCATTTACGGCCGTTGTCTGTGCATCGAGAAACAGGACGTTTATTATTTTAAACATCCAGGACATATGACAATTGAAAAGCCAACAAGTTTTTCACTATAGTGCTACACAAGAGTCGCATATTGCAGGGTATAACTGCAACACCTATCATAAATTCAACGTTTTTATCTTCAACGCTCAAGATACAGAAACACCTGCCATGCCATCTAAATTATCTATACCCTCATGTTCTCAATTATCCAACATTGTATTAACAGAATTTGAAGTTGCTGAAGTGCTTCGCTACCTAGACCTCCAAAAAGCATGCGGACCAGATGGTATTCCAAGCAGACTCTTGCTCGAACTGGCAGACGAGATTATCCCTTCGTTATCCAAATTGCTAAACATGTCTCTTTCGCTTGGCGTTGTATCCAGTAAATGGAAGCTTGCCAATATCACTCCTGTTTTCAAGGCGGATGATCCAACACTCTCATCCAATTACCGACCGATTTCTCTTCTTTGCGTGCTGTCTAAGGTTCTGGAACGATGCATCCACAATCATTCATATCAACACCTTGCACCGCTTATCTACGATAGGCAACACGGTTTCGTCAGGGGTAAATCAACAACAACACAACTGTTGGAGGCATACCAAGACATCATGGAATTGTTAGTGGTAAAGAAGTTGATGCCATATACCTCGATCTGTCAAAAGCTTTTGACAAAGTACCACATAATTTGCTCTTGCAGAAACTTGAGAATTCTGGGATCAGTGGGTCTCTCCTACCTTGGTATAAAAGCTACCTCAGTGATAGGCGACAACGAGTTGTTCTTCATGGTGTCTGTTCTGACTGGCTTCCGGTTACGTCTGGTGTGCCGCAAGGCTCTATGCTTGGTCCGCTACTGTTTCTTGTGTATTGCAACGACGTCCAAGATTACATTCAGGCTGAATCATCGCTCGCACTCTTCGCTGACGACTCCAAACTTTACACATCTCTTCATCTTCCTACTTCTTGTAGTTCTCTCCAAGACAACCTTAACAACCTTATCAAATGGAGCGTTGATATGAAAATGACATTCAACCCAAAGAAATGTAAAGTCATGCACATCTGGGGAAAGAAATTACCGAACAAACACCAGTACAACCTCGATGGTCAGTCAGTTGAAGTTGAACAAGTCACAAATATCAAGGACCTCGGTATCACTGTTTCCAGTAATCTTTCTTGGTCAAAGCACATCGAAGTCCCTGCAGCGAAAGCCAACAAAACTCTTGGACTCATCAAAAGAATCCGCAGAGACATAAATGACTGCGCCACAAGAAGACTACTGTACTGCTCTCTCGTTATAAGCCTAAGTTGGAATACGCTAGTAATGTGTGGTAACCTAGCACTGTCAAACACCGGTCACTAATCGAGAATATTCAGCTACGAGCGACTAAGTTTATCTTGAACTATCCCAAAAATATGTCCTATCAAGAAAGACTGATAAAAACGAACCTCGATCCTTCGTCCACTCGAATTCCGCGGAGAAATCTTGGACTTGCAATTGTTTTACAAATCAAAAAACAGACTTATACAGTACCTATGGATGTACTGATGATCATACAGTACCCAGTTTGTTGGGCAAACAAAGCTAGTCGGGCAATATTCGCTCCACAGTCGGACAGTATTGGCTTATTATAAAAATAAATGGGACAAATTCTGTAAATTTTTTGGGACATTCTGTCAATTTTGTGGTCAATCTTGTGATGTCTGGAAAATTTGTATGATGTTCCGAAAAATTTAGGTATGTTCGAAAAATTTTTGGACCCCTAAAATGGTACACTGACCGAAATTTTTTTGGCGATGGGGGGGGAGGGGGGGGAGGGTCGCCAAAATTATTTGGTTCGGGAAAAAAAATTTTCGTCACTGGTCGGGCACAATTCGAAAAAGTCAGGCAAATTTCTTCCCTAATTTTTTCCTTCCAGTATGCCCATGAGAGGACACTCACAACACACTACCATACATTGGCACATTGCATTTGCAACAAATGGATTTTCCAAATTATATGGTTTTCCTGGATTTCCAGAGGGACAGGGTTTTGCCAGGATCTGAAAACTGGGTGTCCGAATTGGCCATTCTGGGCCATTGGGTAACTGATGAATACCCTTTTGGGGGCAAGGCATATTTTTCGGCAATGCCACTTTTACTAGGTAAAAAAATTAAAGGGCTAAAAACTAAAGGGCTAAAATTGTAGTAGTTTGGAAGTGTAATTGTAAATTCATTTGTCACTAAAATACAATAAATACTGTACCTCCCCCTTTGTCAATTTACTTTGCATTATTCATGACATTAAAACACACTTGAACGCTTCAAAGTAATGCGAATGCTCAACGAAAAGTGCGAATAATGTCATGATTGGAGTGTGGGTGTGTTACCAGCTGATGACCAGTATTTTGGTCATGGACTGATCATGGTGACATGGTTTATATCAATGGAAACTAATTTTCCAGTTGCTCAGGTCTGCTCTAACTGCATAATGCTGTAATCCGCTATGTAGCAATACTTCCCAATGCACCACACACACACAGCCCGGTAACTGGGGATTTGCAGATATTTTATTTCTAAATTGTCAATTCCTCACAAATCGTTATTGGACACAAACACATTATCAAAATTTCACAAATGTCGACCTTTTTATTAAGACATTCAATCACTAAGCAATCGAACTTGTGCACTAAGGCTATTAAAGACCATGTTATATGTACAATGTTTAATATACACAAGGCATTTTTTCTTGCAAGTTGCAACAATGTCTGATCTATATACAGCACAGGCATGTTAACTTTACAAGTATTCCAACACGATCGTTAATCCATTGAGCACCTGTGCCCTCCTGTTGATGAGTAAAATCATCTGGCTAATGGTAGAGTAATTCAAATAATAAATTTTAGTGGGTGCAATTAGAGTGCATTGCAATTTAATGGGTTAATAATCAGGAAACAGCTCACGGCATGGTCACAGGCAAGCTATGTACGCCAATGCAAAGTCTCTCAAATGTGAACATTTATATTCCCAACCTTTAACATGGAACACCCCGAGACTAGATGCTCAACATATACCCCACCCCCAGGAATTCGAAGTGACAGTGTACATTTTGCCGTTGGGGGGCATAGAATAATACTCTCTAGCCACTCTGTCTAATGGAAGACAGTTTTAATTGTCAAAGGAAACTCTTGCAAATGATGGCTCATTGCAAAATCGAGCGGCACCACAGTCACCACAGGCAGTAACAAAGTCAAAGACAGTGCATGCATGAGTCTGAACTTACTAATTACATAATATCCACGAAGTTCTCTGGCTGATTCATCTAAATGATATTCTTCTAATTTCTTCCGTTGTAAACTGCTCCAAAATCCAGCATCAACAGCGCTAGAAAATGGAGCAAATTGGAGGATTTTCCCATTATTTTTACCTCCTTGGTCAACCATGATTTTATTTTGTTTTTATTTTCATAATTTCATTATTATTTTCACATAATTTCATTATTTCTGGTGCTTCCACAATCAAAACAAAAATTTTAAAAAATTCGAAAAAATTAGAAATTCGAAACTTCCATTTGGTCGAAGTTACCGTTTTGGAAGTTTTGTAATCATCGAATAAAACAAATGAATTTTTAGGATTTAATATATAAAGAAAACTATAAAATGTTTTATGTATTTTCTACATGTTTTTCTTGTCACCATGACAACCGTCCTCTCTCTCCAGTCTTTTTGCTCGGTCAAATTTATATTACGTCATAACTTTAAGTTAATATATTCAGAAACATCCCCCTCCCGAATGTGCTAACATTTGTCATCATAAGACAATTTTTAACGTCAAACATAATCTAAACAATTCCAGTCCAGTCTAGTCTTCAGCTCCCTCGACTTCTAATGGGCTCAAGTGCTGTGGTGTACCAGTCGTAGATAAGTACTATCACCAATCTGTATTTTCACGACTCTTACCAATCCGTCTTTGCCAGGATGTGCTTCCACTAGGACCACTATGCGAGCAAGAGGCCACTCTCCACGCTTAGCATTTGGTTCTATAAGAAGTACTACATCACCTTCTTTTAATTTTTTTCTTTTCTGAAACCACTTTCCTCGAGCACTCAAACTTGATAAAAATTCCCTTCTCCATCTTCTCCAAAACTGACCAAGTAACTGCTGAATTCTACGCCATCGCTTCTTCGGGTTCACTGTTTCATTTTCAGGTACTTCAGGTGCGAGGTCTCCTCCTAACTGCCCAACCAGGAAATGACTCGGTGTTAAAGGTGCCAAGTCATTAATATCAGAACTGACGTACGTTATTGGTCTAGAGTTTAACAACCGTTCAGCACCGCAAATTGCAGTATGTAATTCTTCATCATTAACTTCTGCATCTCCGAGAATTGTTCTTAAAGCCTTTTTGGAACTTTTGATCATGGACTCGAAGATACCCCCAAAGTGTGGTGACGCAGGCGGATTAAACTTCCACTCAATTGGTTTCATTCTTGATGTTTCGTTGATTATCTTCTCTTGGTCAAACTGAGAAACTAACTCACGTATCTCTCTCTCGCCAGACACGAAATTTCCACCGTTGTCAGACACCACATAAGATGGCATCCCCCTCCTTGATGTCATCCGCGTGAAGGCATTTAAGAATGAATCAGTGTCTAAGGAATAGCTCATTTCCAAGTGAACCGCTCTTGTTGTCAAACACGTGAAAAGGCATAGATACCTCTTCGCTCTCGGTTTTCCTCTTCCTTGTTTTGGGCGAAACGGCCCACCGTAATCCACGCCAATTCTGTCGAATGCTTTTAATGGCAATTTTACTCTTACTCCCGGGAGTGGTGCCATCATTTGCCCAGGTTGCTTCGTAGCAAATCGTCGCCGACAGCCAGGGCACGTCTCAACCACGTTTCTAACAGCTCGTCTTCCTTTTATCACCCAATAATTTGAGCGTAACTCCGTAAGTAGATGTTCCACACCCGTTCCATGACCACGTTTTTCATGAGCGTCAACGATAATCAACTTGGTCACAGCATGATCTTTTGGTAGCAATATAGGGTGCCTGGTGTCGTATGGAAGTTCTCTGGCGAATCGAAGGCGACCGTCAGCTCTGAGAAGTCCTTCCTCATCTCGTTTAGGATTGAAGTGAAGTAATCTGTTGTCCTTTTCTCCATCAGGAAATGCATCAATATGTGCTTGTCCTAACCAAAATCGTTCTGCTTTCTTCATCTCGTCTGGTTGAAGAATCTTAGTAATGTTTCTGGATTCCTTTGGCAATCTACAGTTCCCAACAAAACGCTTGATCCACGCCGTCGTGCCGTATAATTTGGTGAGGCTGGAAAACTTACTGGGGTCGAGCAGTTCAGTCTCAACCGTTACATGCGAACCCGTGTGGTGGGTCTGTTCCTTTCTGCGTTCGACGTCAATTGAGCTCGCGTCAGCATTATTGTTGGGCAACTTCTCTGGCCAACACGACTCGTCGCTCTTTAAGAATTCTGGGCCTTCAATCCATAATTTACTTTCTGTTAATTGAGACGCTGTAAGACCTCTAGTCGGTAGATCTGCTGGGTTCTCTTCCCCTGGGATATGACACGAACGGTTTAAATGAACGGCTTTTACTGCGTACCCAGTACAAGACATTGGTTGAATCCGTCCAGAAAGTTGTCTTGCCAACGGTCAGTGTTTTTCTAATATTCCTCGCCAATCGGGCAGAGAGTATACCTCCTATAATCTCAAGACGTGGTATTGTAACAGCTTTAATAGGCGAAACACGGCTCTTTGACGCGATGAGATAACATGTTGGGTTTTGGCAGTTGTACTTACAAAGCAAATAGGCAGCTGCAGCATAGGCATCTTTGGAAGCATCTGAGAATACATGAAGCTGTGTTTCGATCGGATCGGGCAGTCGTATACAGCGTGGGATATGGAAATTCGACAATTCGCGAAGTTCATTGATCCAAACATTCCATTTTGTCTTTAAGTTATCTGGTAGAGGGTCATCCCAATCTAAACCATCAGTCCACATTTCTTGCATCAACACTTTGGCTCTTAGAGTAAATGGTGCAAATAATTGTAGAGGGTCGAAGAGGGTCATCCACGTACATGGAGTTTTCCACGGTATCAGCAGCCTCCGAGTGTGTCTCGGCGTGTGAACGTGCGTGGGAATGTAGGATATATTGAGCACAAAAGGGAGATGCTGTATTTCCAAACGGCAGACGTTGGAACTCGTAGACATCTGGGGGTTTTGACTGGTCAAAATTACGCCATAGGAATCAGTGATACGGTCGATCCTCTTCTTTGAGCTGGACTTGCAAGAACATCTGAGAAATATCGGCTGATATTGCAACTGGCGCGCTACAAAAACGGATTAATACGTCCACTAGATCTTGCTGGAGTTTTGGCCCGGATAGTATGGCATCATTTAAACACTTTCCCTCTTCTTTCGCCGCGGCATCATACACAATACGGTCTTTAGTGGTGGTTCTGTCTTCTTTGATAACAGGAAAGTGAGGAAGGAACCATTGTTCTTCATTTGTCAAAGGCAGTTTGCGAACATAGTTTTTATCAACATAGTCCTCGATTATCTTATTGTATCCGTTTGCAACTTTCGATCCCTTGTTCATCAGTGACTTCTCTAAGCTTTGCAATCTTCGATGTGCTATCTCGAAATTATTTTCGAACTTAGGTTCTCCAGTTTTCCAAGGAATTTCAATCTCATATCTACCATCTTTGGCTACCCGTGTTTCTTCAGCAATCTTCATTGCAGCTAACTCGTCCTGGGTCCAAGTTTGGCTATCTCCGTCTTTAATTCCTATAGCTCCAAGTTCCCAAAACTTTCGTAACAAGTCATTCGTTTCTTTCACATCATCATTGGAACTTCGATATGTACGAGTTGAATGATGGCAACGCGACTTGTACGGCCGGTTTGAGACAACGGTCGGACCAAAACAAACCCAACCAAGGTTTGTCTGTCTAGCAACAGGATCATTAGTCTGAGTCCCTTGAACTTCTCTCCGAACTTGGAGATATTAATGGTCGCTACCGATTAATAAGTCGATTTGCGGTCGTTTGGCAACATTTTGGAATGGGATATGCTTCAGATGTGGCCATTGATTCTTTATTTCATTCCATTTAGTAGCTGGAGTGTTACCTGTTATGTCCTCAAGAACATTAGCTTCCAGTGGTGCACAAAAATCACCGCTCACACTAGCTATTGACAGTTCGACTCTTTGTGACAATTTCTTTACTTCTGTTCCAGCAGTTCCCGAGATAGTTAAATTCTTCATTCGGCCTTCAAGTTGCAATTCTTCGGCTGCATTCTCTGTAATGTATGATCCCGTTGAACAAGGGTCAAGCATGACATTAACTCTTAATTTTATCGTTCCATTCATAACATCATCTGGTAAAACCATCAGTGAGATATTCTCAACTTGATTTGCGGCATAAGTCTTAGTACTGTTCTCATTGGTTTTGTCTTCAGCTGCAGGTGATTCTTTGTCTGCTAGTTCCCCATTAGGTTTCTGTGATGCTTTTACCCCTTTACCAATTGTGTATTGATTAGAGTCATGCAAGAAGTTGCTGTGTCCACTACTCTCACAACCGTCAATGCCACATTTTTTACTTCTAGGGCAGTTTTTACTCCGGTGACCTGCAGCTAAATATCGGAAACATCTACCAGTTTTGGCTATAAGTTCTTTGCGTTGGGTCACAGAAAGTTCCTTGAACTTTGAAGACACCCATGATGGATGATCTATGGAGCACTTGTCCACTATACACTTTCTACGACTACCCATTGTGTTGAAGCCTCGGTTAAATCTCTTGTCTTGTCTTCTCTTGTTAAACTCGCCTGTCTCTTCTAGTGCCTCGTCCATGATTTGTCCTCTTGTCTCAATCCATTGCACTAACTTTTCAAAGCTGTCATCTTCCTCATGTTCATACAACCAATACTTGTTTGCTCTAATGTCTTCTTCTGGGAGTTTTTCCTTCATCTCTCCGTCTGGATCACCATCTTGAAGGGAAATGAGAATTCTGTCTAGAACTGCTAATAACTCTTCCATGTCCGCAAGGTTATGTCGACGCACCTTTGGCAGCCCTCTGAGTGTTGTTAGATGGGTAAGGGCTTGTCTTCGCTTACCACCATATTTCCTTTTCAGTTTTTCCTTTGCTCGTTCATAGGCATTGTTTGAGAAACCAAAATCTCTCACCGTCTCCAGGGCTTTTCCATTTAAACATCCTTGAAGTCTTAGCATTTTCTCTTTTACAGGGATATCAGTTTCATCTACTACCAAAGCAAAAGCGGCATACCATGGTTCAAACTTGGTCTTATCTTCACCAGAGAATGTAGGTAGCTGGACACCTTTCAGCTTAACAGCTTCACAGCTTCCATCGAGGTTGGTGGTTTACCGGGAATTTCTGGGTAGGTATTGTAATCTCTTCATTAGGGAGTGATGTTTTCATACCAATTTTTGTCTCTTGTTCTTCTTGTAAACTAGCTTTGAATTGAGGTTGTGGGTTTACTGGGTTTTTGTGGGTAGGGGATGGTGTCTTCTCACCCATTATATAGTCTTTTGTTCTTCTTGTAAACTAGCTTTTGCTCTTCCTTCATTTAGCGAAACAATGGAACGAGCATCTTCAATTATTTCTGGTTCTGTTGAAACATGTTTGTCTTTTATTTATATCTTCTTCAAGTGCTAATTGTTCTTGTTCAAGTCTATTTAACCTTTCGTGTGCTTCCTTCCACTCCTGTTGTCTTCTCATAGTTGATGATATTTTTGAAGCTTTTGAGGTGGTTGTTATTGATGAAGCCTTACTATAACAGTCTGAAGACACTTCTGAATCTTTTTCTCCATTAAAAATTCTTTCATCTAATTGGTCATTAGCACGTTTGATATGTAAATCAGCTTCATTAGCTAGCTCAGTTAGTTCTTTGTCTAAATTGTCAATAATTTTATCTGCATCTGTCTCTTCGTCTTCACTGACTGCAATGGTCGTTTTAATGGATGTAATTATTTCTTCAATAATTCTCTATTCAGACCTTACCTTTTTTATCGTACGTAGAATACTTGTCTTACTGCTACGGTGTCCTGTTTTATGGTCATACAATGATAATAATTCAGTAAGATGTTTTTCGGCGTTGTTTAGTAGTATAATTCCCGAGTTTTTTCGTCTCTGAAGCGTTTGATATCGTTTGTTGCTGTCACTTACTTCGCTTGCTGGTCTTTTGGTCACAGAATCGTCTTTCAAATTCACACAAATGTCAATTTCTTCGTCTTTTTTTGCTCCCAAGTTGTCATGTTCGTTGATGTCGCTCATCATGTTCGCCAAATGTCACGTATTTTTAACGCTAAAACCTTGTTTTATTCATAGATCGATCCGGCTCGAACGGACCACTTTGTTCTCGTAACTAGAACCGTCATGATTAATCATCGAATAAAACAAATGAATTTTTAGGATTTAATATATAAAGAAAACTATACTGAAATGTTTTATGTATTTTCTACATGTTTTTCTTGTCACCATGACAACCGTCCTCTCTCGCCAGTCTTTTTGCTCGGTCAAATTTATATTACTTCATAACTTTAAGTTAATATATTCAGAAACATATGGCGCGTCTAAAATGTTTTGCATATCTTGATTATATGGGTGATAAATAAGATAAAGAAGATTGTCATGCTATATCAGTGTGACATCCCAGTTTATATATCAATATACTCGGTATATATTGATTTATCGGTATCCAGAATTATTTTAATGTATAACAACCAGCGAAGAAGTAAGCCACTAACGTTTCGAGTAAAATTGTCCCATTATAAAGGTTTTAAATGTATAAACAAACGTTTTGCGATAGCCGACCTCTCTGAACTTTGATAAATAAAGCTGATTATTGCGCGTTCTAAGTCTGTATCATACAGCGCCGATTTCTCACTCCTGCTTAGTTTCTCATATGAAACAATTATTTATGTTAAGTACATCAATACACAGTTAATATGTGTGTTCGGCTTTCCACACACTTTCGTTGGGTTTATTGCTTAGGGGCCGTTCATTTTTATCAGGAGGAGGGGGTTGGTCGTTTTGGGCGCTTTCATTAATAATTTCGTCTCGACCCCCCAACAGATTCAGGAAAATTTCCTGTGGCCCCTTTTCTACTCCAAATTTTTCCCCATGATCCCCCTACCTGCATGATCTGGGTATGGTCTTGGATATTTGGTCATGGTAGGCCCTATACCCAAGCATCACAAGATAAGCAATCGTAAAGCAATATATTTCATTTTATAATAGGACAAAACTTCATCTTCACTGTCTTTTTTGGCTGTTTAGTAAAGTTACCGGAAGTGACAATTTTGTGCATATTTGCTAAAAGAAACAAAATAAAACTGATTTGCATTGTCTTAATACTCAATGTCACGTCCAGTGACTTTTAATAAACAGCCATGAAGATAAAGCTTTTTTTCTAAGAAAATGAATTGCGTTTTAGAATGCACTTAATATCACAAATATGTGTACTTTAAATTTAAATTGACTACTGATGCATGTACTAAAACTTTACTTTGAGTTTTTATAAATGAAAGAGTATGAAAGTTGATTGCTTTGATTTTTATGTATTATGTATTCATTTATGTTTTGGTGGCCCCCTCAAAATTTAATTTTCCTGAGATGACCCCCTCTCACATCGCTATTTTTTTTCCCTTAGACGTAACTCTCCAAGATGTTGTAATACGATGCGCTTATGTCTACGCTCATGTCGAATATTTTACTCAATATAGACACAATGAAAGAGCAACAGTGATGTTATAATATTAACATTAAATCTTGAATATTAAACTTAAAAGTAGAGCAAAAACCTTTATAATAAAGGCTTGCCTTTGAAACCCAGTCACTGCGCTTCGAATTTACAACTTGTCTCGGTAAACATTTGTTCAGAAAGACCGTCACCACGAACATCACATGCACGTGAAGGATCAAAGAAGTCGACCGAAGTGCATTATAGTAAAAAATACAGGCGACCATAATGCATCGCGCTTGGTTAAAATTCTGATTTCAACCACTATTTCAAAGTTTAGGTCTGCTGCCTTGCTCGGTCGCTTCAGTTCAGGCGACCTCGCTGCGACGGCAAATACTAATAAGATTGCTTGCTCAAACAGCGGGCTCAAAGCAATTGAAAGCTGAGGCAGTGGTTTTCAACATTAATTTATAATGACGTAATATATCATAAGAGCTATATTTATTGACCAATGAGTGGTCGCCACAATTCCTGTCGCTAGCAACAAGTGGCTAGAGCTTCACAGCCATCTTCCCTTCGATAGGATAGGTTCTGTAGTGTGAGAAGGAGAAACCTCAGCCAGCTCAGGTATGCTTATCCATTTTTTTGTCTGTATACTGTAATATATATAAATATAATATGATGTTTGCTCAACTGTATAAGACTTACAAAATGTTTTTGGCCAGGGGCGGATCTAGGATTTTTCGTACCTCAGTCAAAATTTTTTGGCGGACGGGGCGTTGTCGGCGCTGGGCGTGGTCTCGACTGGGCGTGAAAAACGTATTTAGATTAAATTTAAATTGATAAACTCAAACGAACATTTGATTCTTATCCATTGTAAGAAAAACTACAAATGCACAAAGATGTATTGATCCTATTTCAATACAAAATTTTATGGATATGTTACTATGATATAATACGTTAAAACTCAGCAGCAATTTAACATGTTTGCCTGTGGATTAATGAATCGTCGTCGTATTGGTACTATATACCTATAAGTGTATCATTGTAAAACTTGTAAAACCATATGGCAGCAAATGCATTAAGGAAATATACTGCTCTGTTATCAAAAACGCAGAACTATACAAATAATTGCCAGTAGCCTCAAATCCAAACAAAACAACCAGATATTCAGTAACTAAGTCAAACACTATTACATTAACAAGATATAAAGATGTTATGTCAAATATTAATAAACTAGTAACATCAGAATGGCTACCCAGTCAATGAGCTTTTCAAGCTAGCTTATTAAATATTTCACATCATCATGTTACACCAGACCAATGCGGTCGTCTAACAAGCCATGTCGATAGGCTATGGACAAACAATATTCTATAAAGCCGACATGTTGTGTGTTGTAGAGATTCCAAATGGTTTGAATTCAAACTGAACATTGTCGAAAATGTTTCCAGATATCGCTGGTAGAGATCGCTCGTAAAAATAGTAAAATTTCGCACATGCCAGACGTTCGAAATAGTAAACACTCATAAACACCGAATGCCGTGTTGACGAATACCCCACGCTGCGAATCCGTCGAAAATATAAGCCAATGACAGTGCAGAATTTTTTTAAATGGTTCAATCAGAAGGCTCATACAGAGCCCCTGAATCTGCAAATCCGTCAGGCCTCCCCACAGATCCGTCGCAAATGGCCGTAACCATGGAAATGAGCGTGTCAGCCAATCAAATAGCCGGATTCGACCCCCGAATCCGTCAAAATTCATGCGTAAGACCGCTGTTCGCGACTGACTAATATTACTTTGCCGAAGCTCTGCCGCAGCATGAAACGTATAACTGGACTACGATTTAATAACTCGATCTACTAGCCGCTATAGATAGCTGGAGTCGAATTTTTTTTAATTAAGTAGGCAATTTTTACTTCAGTCGCGCGACTGATTTGACGACCCCTAGATCCGCCCCTGTAAAATTTTGGCTAGTACAGTACTACAGTTGTACGACAGAATTATGACTATGATTTATGAATGAATGGCAGACCTCACGCCTGCATATGCCTTTAATTTAAACGTCACAGCATCGAATTCAACCGTTTCAGAAACCAGTTACATGTAACACTTGAAATTTCGATTATACTAACTGTACGACAAAATAAGACGAAAAGCGGAACATTTTATGAGAGTTAACTTCAATCCAGTATCGTGTAACCAGGCCATATACGTATTCGAAACGGCAGGATTTTGACTAATTTTAAATTATAAACCATTATAGACTAATTTTAAAACTATAGGCAAGGAGGCGCAAATAAATCACCACAGCTAGAAAGAGCATACTAAAATTAGTAAAATTACAAAGTTTGGTTGAGAAATGTTGTAAAATGCGGTAAATATAGCCTAGCAAATTTTGTATACTTTTGTATTGCCTGCGGCTGTGGAAATTCCTGCCAGCAATTTCCGGACGCAATACAAAAGTATACAAAATTTGCAAACTTTGCAAGGCTATATTTTCCACATTTTACAACATTTCGTAACCAAACTTTGTAATTTTACTAATTTTAATATGCTCTTTCTAGCTGTGGTGATTTATTTGCATCTCCTTGCCTAGTTTTAAAATTGTCTATGATGCGAATTGTTTATTTAATAAGTCAATTGGTAATTGACTAAAAAAAGTCATTGCCGTAATCAAGGGAGCACGCCAGAAATATTTTTATAAAATAACATGTATATAACGCGTGTTCTGATTGGTCAAAAGCCGTGTTTGGATCAGGCCATCCAAACACGGAAGACTATCGTGTTGTTGTTATTTTATAAAACAATTACTTTATGGTTTCCGTGTTTGGATGGACTGATCCAAACACTTGGGAATGTTGCTCGAGTTAAGAAAAGCGGGCAAAATCACTCGCCTTCGGCTCGTGATTTCGCTCGCTTTTCTTAACTCTCGCAACATTCCCGCGTGTTTGGATCAGGCCATCCAAACACGGAAACCATAAAGTAATTGTATAGTGTAAATTTATACTAACCTTTTAATTACATGTAAATGTTTTCAATTTTTATCGGGTGCCATTTTGAATGTTGAAAGCGGTATATATTATTAGCTCTTCGCAGGCGCAATAATTTATGTTCATCTTTGACATTAATTTATGTTACACGATGATACTCCGAAGGGCGATCGAGAAAGATCCGAAATTTAAAATAAGGCGGAGAAATAATAAAAAATAAAGAGGGGAGTGAAACGGCCGAACACGTGATGGAGTATTGGCCAATGACAATGCGTATATCCAATTTCGTTATCTGGCCATGCTCGTTGACCAAGAACTGTCGAATCTGAAATATATCAAAACTTGTATTGATTTGCATCGTTGCTCGCCAGCAGTGAATTTTCGACAGCAGAGAAACAAAAACATTTGCGAATGCTGGACACAAAATACAGTATTAATAATTCATGAAGGAAATTCAAAAGAAATGAATGCTTCATCAATGTATGTAAATCGTCGGATAATAGATTTGTAAATTGTCCTCATTTACATAAAATTCAGCTTCGATTTTCTCGGCTTAGACAATGTTTATTTTTAAAATTACTTCGTCAATGACCTCATATGATGGGCCGTCTTTTAAGCACGTTAAAACACGAGCAGCCGATGTTTATCTGATATACAAACTCTCGCCATTGTCCCCAATTTTAATAATATATTTTAATGTGACTTGCTTGAACTAATTACAGTAGATCGAATATAAATCAACGGTAAATTCGAAAATAATAAAAAAAAATTATTTTCGGAGTTATTGTTGTTCTACATTATATTATATTAAAATACTCAGTGGTTCCCGTAATAGTAGGTCTAATTTTGTTTCCGGTTTGTTCCTAGCAACATCAAATGTTCCTAGCAACAGTCAACCAGCATCAGTGGATAATAGTTCGGCCGTTTCACTCCCCTCTTTATTTTTTATTATTTCTCCGCCTTATTTTAAATTTCGGATCTTTCTCGGTCGCCCTTCGGAGTATCATCGTGTAACATAAATTAATGTCAAAGATGAACATAAATTATTGCGCCTGCGATGAGCTAATAATATATACCGCTTTCAACATTCAAAATGGCGCCCGATGAAAATTGAAAACATTTACATGTAATTAAAAGGTTAGTATAAATTTACACAAATATTTCTGGCGTGCTCCCTTGCCGTAATCGGGGACTCTGAAGGAGCAAACTGTTCTGACATGGAAGATTATTTGAAACCTGTAATTCGAAAAGGACCTGAGAACATAATTCTTTATGTTGGAACAAACGATTTAAACAAATATACCTCGCCAGATCAATTAAATAGCACGGGGAATTATCAATTTGGGAATCAAGACTCCTCTCAATAACAAACTTACGTTACTATATCAGAAATTTTACCTCGAACTGACAAGTCAAATCTACTAGCCAAAGCAAAGCAAACCAAGTTGATGACATCGTGAATATTATTGCGACCAAACTAAATGGGGTTATATTAACCACAAATCCATTAATGCAACCTGTCTGAATTCAAGAGGGCTACACTTGAGCAAGAAAGATGTTGCCATTATCGCTAAATCAATTTCTTCTTATTTGACTTATACCTATATTATTAACCATTGATTAGTAGCGATGGGTAGGTCTAACTAAAACGTTTCTAATGTTAGTAAACACAATCTTAATACGCATAAACAAACTGATTTCAACCTACCTCAACGCACAGAGGCTTCAAAATTGCTTTTCTAAACATTGAACTAAGCCGATTAAACATGCAAAATCAATATTTAGATATACTAGTCTTAAACGAAACTCGGCTGGATGAAACAATTTATAGTCATTCCGAAATATATATCAATTGATAAATATAGTTTAGTTATAGGAACGATCGATCACGATACGGAGGTGGCGTCCTATATGTATATATCCGTAATTCAATTTAGCTAGTTTTAATATCAGAAACGATCTCCATGACGAAGCCCTTAGAGTTCCTATGTGTGTTGAGATCAGAAAACCTCGAGTTAAACTATTCCTAATCTAAACGTGGTACAGACCTCCTATTAAAGACGGTCTAGGGTCTGAAAATCAGTAACCGGTAAAAATTTGGGTATTTTAACGGTAAATCTTTGAATTTGCTGAAAAGTGTTCTGAAACGATAAACTGCACAGTATTACTCTCGTCACGCTTCACGGTAAAATATTTAGTGTTTTCACGACTGACGGTAACCGAAATTGAACAATCACGACTCACGATATACCCCATCAACACCTTCTCCTAACTATTGCATGGATCTCTTTGATCAACCGCTTCAGGTAATTTTAGATAAAATTGAATACCATGGTATTGAAAATAATATCATTGGTGATTTAAATTGTGACATGAGTGCATATGTTGCCGATAATTATACATATACCACTTCTTCTTAGTTAATGACAACACTGATCGAGTATCATGATCGTAGAAGTCGCAGTGTCGCTATTCCTTATTTGGACTATTTGGTACATCAGTAATACCTGTATAAAGAAACAAGGAATGCCCTCCGGATCCTTTCCCTTCCCATGGATTGGCAATGTACCTCATGTAACATCCGACCAAGCATTTCCTTTCAGGAAATTGTCGAAAGAATATGGAGAAATCTTCACTGTATTCATGCCCAATGGAACGTTTGTTGTACTAAATACCGCATCACTCGCAAGAAATGCAAGACTTGGCACAAAAGACGACGTTGCCGGCAGGTCATCCGAATTAACTAATTATCCGTTGGAACTTATATTAGGGAAGGACGTTGTCTTTTCAGATTACTCAGCCGGGTATTTATTTCGCAAGAGAGTGTTTAAATCATCACTTCATGTATTTGGATCCGGTCTTGGGCAAGCTGAAGACCGTGCAAGACATGCCGTTCAACTTGCACTGCAAGAAATTGAAAAATGTCAATCGTTCTCGCCAAACGAACTTGTCCCATCAACAATATTTGCACAAGTTTGGGAATGGTTAACATCTAAGAAGATAACTCTCGATGATCCGACCATAAGTTTATTTAAAGAAATACAAGGGATAATAATGAATCAGTCTAGGGAAAGATCCATATATCTTTTGATACCATTCCTTGGATACATAACAAACTACAACCGTAAGATAGAGAAGGCAAAAGATATCAAGAAACGGCTATTGCCACACGAATTCTCTGCTCACCGTGAGACCTACACTCCAGGTGTCATACGGGATTTGACAGACAGCTTCATCGGTGCCTACGAGAAAGAGATTGCAAACTGGACAGGCAAGGCCATCGGGTCGATAGAAGATGTACCTGACTTAATGTTAGATGTTGTTTTAACAGCAATAGATACAGTCTCAACTACAATTTGTTGGTTTATTCTTTATAATGTCTTACATCAAGATATTCAAGCAAAACTCCACAAGGAGCTTGATGACGTGGTAGAAAATGATCGCCTTCCATGCTGGAAAGATGCTCAGAACATGCCTTATTTACAGGCTACTTTATGCGAAGTACTACGAAGATCAGATATTGTTCCACTCACAGCAACAACTGTTATTCGTGATACAACTATCGGTGGTTATCATATTCCAAAGAATACAAATATCGTCATAAATATTAACGAAATCCATCATGACCCAAAAGAATTGCCCGAACCTAATGAATTCAAGCCTGAACGATTTCTTGACAATGATGGAAAGTTTGTGGGTTGGACAACGAAACATGCTTTCATGCCCTTTGGACTTGGTCGCAGAGAATGTCTCGGTCAGCTTTTTGCAAGGATCGTGATGTTCACATTTGCATCAACGTTGCTACATCTCTACAAGATTGAGCTTCCTGAGGGAGCGGAGAAACCAACTACTTCACCCATTGGTCTGCAAATTCATCACCCTAAAGATTTCACAGTTGTGGCGAAAAAAAGACATTAATATAAGTGTTTACATGGAGAAAGATCTTCCCTTGAAATTATTTCAATCACATTACGTTTTCATTAAGTCTTTAAATTTGTTCATAAAATGGAATAATCACGCAGAATAATCGGTACGAGAGTGTTAGATTTCCCCCCTTTTCGAACAACTTAACGACAATGATTATCAGTCGATCAATTTTCAGTGTTCCATTACTTTTCGCTTGCGGAAGGAATGGTAGTTGCAATTTTGCATACACTATAATGTACAATGGAGTTTGTCCGCTTTGTGGAAAGATTCAATTGTTAGTCAATTTCAAAACAAAATATTAACATGCCAATAATAATTTGTGTCATGCGAAGCTACAATCAGTTTCAAAAGTTTTTGGACAGATGCCACAAAACCTTTCACGGTGGTCGGTTGCTAAGCATTTTGCTCCCGCTAAGGTTTCAATTACGTAATTACAACTTAGTATCATGCGGTGCCATTTTCACGCGAAGTATACGCGATTTTGCGCGTCCTATATTTTCGCTTTTTTGTATCTAATCGACGAAAGTTAAGGTAGAAATAGGAATATATATATCTCATCTTGACCATAAAATTCCTTACAGCCTAACAGCATTTATCTAAATAGAGAAATATGGCTCCAGATTAGCATAACTTTTGATGTGACTTTGTGGTTTACACGGTCACGTGGAAGGCCTAAGCTGACTTTCTAGGGGTCCCTAAGTAAGATAATGTATATATAAACAATTCCCCCTTGACAACCCCCCCCCGCCGCCCACCCTTAATTTTAATAGCGCAAGAGAAATCGGCCAATAAGTTACAAATTTGTCAATTTTCGCAATTTATTGGAGAAAATGAGATTGTTAGACTGCACTAGATTGAAAATTCTCAAGGGGAAAATTTAGACTTACCAATTATTGACTTACATGAATGGCTAGTTGTTCATGAATGGCTAGTTGTTCAAAAGGAAAGCAAGAAAGTGCTCTGTAAACCGCATGTAATTTTCATACGTTGCCTTGATGTGTTGCGCCATAATTGTTTACTTCGCCTCCTGCTGCGTGTCTTGAGTTAGCTGGTTTCTTTACTTCGATAAAAGCTTATCGCACGCCTTACACAAGTTTAATTTACATTAATATAACTACAGAAGACTGAGGTATAGTTTACAAAAGAAATCAGTTGCACATGCCTTTACTTAAGTTCAGATGAGGGAGCAGTTTTCACGCTAAAGACAACATGCCTTGGTAATCTGATAGTGGCAGATGTACTATGATCCTCAAGGTAAAACCATCATGAAAATCGTTTGGAATTGTAACTAAATGATAAAATTAAGTGTGCGCAAAGACATGAAATCTATAAAAAGGTATAGTTTACAAAAGAAATCAGTTGCACATGCCTTTACTTAAGCTCCGATGAGGGAGCCGTTTTCTCGCTAAAGACAACATGGCTTGGTAATCTGATAGTGACAGATGTACTAGGATCCTCACGGCAAAATCGCTTGGAATTGTAACTAAATGATCAAATAAAGAGTGCGCAAAGACATGAAATCTTCAAGAAAAGCTGCGTATCTTAAGAAATTTAGATCACTAGTATATATGTTACTATTATTTTATGTGTTTACGGATCGCCGGTATAAATTATAAATTTAGTATATACCAAGGCATGATTGCACTCTAGCTAAATCTGCTATATATTTTGTCATCGATACAATGGAAGTATGTGTTTATATATCTCAAAATTACATCATACACAAATATAAAATGGAAGCGTTCAATACAACATATTCTGATATTCATCAAACAAATTCTTGCGTGACTAACTATAGCTAGATTTGTTGTCGCCAACCAAAACAGTCGGCATGTTTCTCTCTCTGTTTATTACTTTAACTGATAGATATATAGCTACACTGTATTAGTAGCATCAGACAATTTCCCTAAAATTACCTGTATATACTGTTGAAGAAACACGAATTTAGGCGAAAAGACGAACAGTGTGTACATTGGTTTGCGTTCCGCAATATGAAAGATAAACTATAAAGGAGCGAATTAAATATCGCGGCCAGGCTAGAGCTATTCGAAGGCAGTTAATAGTTCCGATTGTTATTTGACAGCTAAAAATAAAATTATCACAATCGTTCCATTTAAATATTGAAGTTTATAAATCTGTTAAAATACACGCGACAAAATTGCTGTAACAGCAAGAAATTTTAAGCCAAATACATGGCCCTTCCAATTATTATCAAGTAAAACGACGCCATTTCCCATTCACACTGACACCGCTGGAAAAAACGAAGCCCGCGCTTCCGGGAGCAAAATGCATAGCAACCGACCACCGTGAATTTGAATTTCAACAAACGACAATCCCCCCGCCCCCTGTTCAATGTATTTTATGTTGTGTCCCATTTCTCGTCAGGTTTGATGTGTTTTGGTTTAAACAACATTGATTTGGGTGGGGGGAGGGGGAGGGGAGCGGTATTGTGAGTAAAAACCTTTAATGATCTACTTACAAGCTAAAACTACGGCAGCGTTTACACTGTACCGTTTTCGTAGCGTTCTCGTATTGTTCGAGAGAACTAGACTATTGTCTTGCGTTCCCTTGCGTTCCCTGAATAGAATGCTCTGTGAACGAGGTATTTCAGATTAATTAAGTTTCATTAAAATTCTCAAAGTTAATAATTAACAGAATATGAATATAATTTTTTATGTCATATAGCATTCTTAATGACAAAGGTTTTATACGTTGTTTCTTTCTACAAATTTCGGTGGAGCAACAATAGGTTATTTGAGAGGTTATAGTTTGTCAATAAAAATAGGTATCGCAAATGTTTTACGCTAGATATGTCACACTTACTGTTAATTTATAGCATAGTAATACAGTATAACATCCGGTTACTTTCGCATGCGGGTAAGGGCTGAGTCAACTGCTAATTCTGGTACTCCGAAGGTAAAGAACGTTAGATTTATAATCGCCTATAGTTAACGTGACATTTCACATCTTTCTAGAGCAGAATTTGCAGATATAATTGTCGACGCATTGGTACGAAGGAGCACTCAGTGGGTGGGGATTTCGGATGCTCATGAAAAGGGCGGTAGTCACTTCCACATGGCTAGTAAAAAATTGTCCACAAGATCAAGGTGGCGAGGAATCGGAAAGCTCGAGAAGAGTAAATGCGGCATTTAATTGAACTTAGTCAGACAATCCCAAAAATTACTATTCAGCGTATTCGTACGTGTTAAAAAAAGACCCGGACTTCGTGATTTCTCCAGGGTTTATAGACCTCCCTAATGCTGACGCGTTAAGCAAGTACTAGTGCGACCCGCCGAAGCAAGAAAGTTGCACAGGCTTACAAAAATATGTAACGAAAGAGACTCGTGGTATCTCGCAGTATACGGCGTTGCACGCATTATACAACACAAAGTTAGTGTTATACGCTAATTATGCTAACAAGCGTTCCGGACCAGACGAATGAAATGAAACTAACATCGGTTGACACTTCGATTGTCACTATAGAAATATGAAATAATGGGCAACTAGGCAGCTTTTTAATCAGAACAAGGCTAAGAATAATTTGTTGAGAATGTCTAACAGTGTATTTGCTATCAATGAAAGGGTTTGAAATTGATTAAGCCAAGTTTTGCATCGATTGACACTTTTCTACATAAATAAATCTGATATATCATAGTGATATTTCTAGAGTTGAGTGTCAATCGATACATTTTATACAATTTATATACTTAGTGATTAAGTAGAACCCGCAATATATCAATACGCTCTACCTAAACACTTTTGCTTAGTACTTAATATTTTGAAAATTATTATGCCGCGACAATTGAAAATTATATCAATGAAAATGCTATGTGTTTCAAAGTGACAACCGAGTGTCAATCGAGCACATGTTCAAACTGTTTTATATTACATACATAATTATTATTTTCATGTCAAATATGCACAATCTTTAAATGGTCTTCGATAATTTACCCTTGCATTTTATTTAGCAATAACCTAGGTCGATAATTAACCAGATAGATGTGTTTTATCCCTTGCATATAGACCAGGTTTAATCTCTCGGCATACTTCCCTCACCACATATCACGTCTGTTTATAAGCTCATTTATAATATACTGTTCAGTCTGTTGGATTATGTTACATTTCAAAGATATTGACCACAACAAGCACAGTATAAAGGCATTGCGTCAAAATTATGTTACATTTCAAAGATATTGACCACAGCAAGCACAGTATAAAGGCTTGCGTCAAAATTACTTGTTGAACAAGCTGATGCGTTTGCTAAAGACGATGATGACGTTGGCAGTATTCCTAACCTGCAAATGAACATTCAGCTCAATGATACTAAACCTGTTCAAAAGAACTACGTTGCCGTGCCCCGACCTCTCTACCCGGGGGTGAAGGCATACAATGAAGACCATACCTAATTTTAAGAATTTTTTATCACTGCACATTTTTGTGCAAAGTTTAGCCGAGCAGAAGCACGCCCTCAAAATTTCTGAACACACCCTTGTAATAATGTGTAACCACAAGACGGGCTACAATTGATATTCAAAGATCCCAAAATCAACATACACTGCACAGCACCCAGAGTCGCCCAGGGAAATTGGGGGGCCAGGGCAAAATTTGAGTTGTGGCCCCTTGTGATTCCATCTTCTAACACTATGATTAAGGGGGTCCGGGGGCATTCTCCGAAAATTTTGAAATCTCAGGTCAAAGAAATAGCCAAATTCTGCATTCTGGAAGCTTGTTGACAGTTATATCTATATGTTTATTTCACTATAATTCTTTTTTTGGGCCCTCTTTAATGGGCCACAGGGCAAATTGCCCCCTCCGGTCTTAAACGTGACACCTTTGGACACAAGCTAGCCAAATACACATTGAATGTCCATTCTATTGATTCTAAAAGTGTTTATAGACATATTGCTCTAGATTTTTTTTTTAAAGGTTATCATCGTTTATATTAAACACGAAGAAGACAAAATATAACGTACAAAATTGTTTGAAATCGACAGTGCACAGCTGACGTACGACAATTCAAAACTGCATGAATTTCCTTTTTTGTCTGCACGAGTACCTGCCTGTTGAAGCCAAAATATTGCACAGCATCTCCTATAAATTCTATCGCCATTTACCCTCTCCCCTTAAATGCAAAGGAATGACAGCCGAAAAGGTTTAGCAAAGTATTTTTTATTATATCTGGTATAAAGAGTTCTACGTTTTATCAGGGATATACATAATTCATAAACTGTATATGCACATGAA